AAAAGCTGCTCCATAAATAAAATTGTTATCATTGTTATTATAAAGTTATTGTCTGTCTTTCAGGTTGTTCTGTCTTGTTTTCAGTGTTTAAAAGCATAAATGAAGCTCAGAGGAAACCGCCTTTTCACTGCTCTGTAAAGTCGTTTGTCTGCGGCTGAACTAAAGGCAGCTATGAAGGCAGGACACTACATCCACTAGCTACCTCCACAGCAGCTCTACTGTGGTCCGTTACCTCTGGACGTCTGCTTGCACCTGTGCAGGATTTTTCCTACTGTGTAAAGAACTGAAGTAACATGAAAGCAGAGGAAAGAAAACAGAAGAAAACTGTTTGTTAGACCAAAGGTGAGCCGGCTGTTGCAGTTTGCTCAGGTGAAAAAATCAAAGAGGAGCTTAAACTCATTCATTTGAACAAGGACAAAGTAGATGCATGTAAATAATGGAACTGGATCTACATTTTCATGGATGTACACAGATTTCTAAACAAAAGCTGCATTAATCGAGGATCAACTGTTTCCAAAGAAAGTTTTGTTTTTCTGTTGTTTGAACGTAAATCTGCACTTTAAATTAAGGACAAACGCTGCGACAGCCTTCGGTCTAATAAAGCTGATCACACAGTGGCTCTTTTCATGTTTGCTTTCTGTTCACTGAACAACTACTTAAGCTGTTAATCCCACAACAGTTCTGGGGAGAGTTTGACATGCAGAAGAATAGAAATGTACCAACAGAAAACAGTGTAAAACCTTTCATTCTGACTTTTTTTAAAATAACTTCTTCAACTCTTAAATTGCACTTATATCACCGTTATTGTATTTCTGCTTGTTAAAAAAAACCTTTAAGTTGTACAGTAGCATGTGCACACTCTGGCACTCTTTTCAGTCTGACATATTTAATGTTTTAGGAAACTCTGAAACTTTATTTCTGATAAAGTTTGAGCGATTAGTTGCTGCACAAAGGGATAAATCAGGCAGATTTAAGGAGCTTAAAGAGGGGTTTCTGTTCAGCTGTTTTCTTTAAAATAGCAGACATCTTTAAATTCAAGTGCATGTTGCAAACCTCCGGACTTCCCAGCAGCCTTCTCTATCAGAGTAACAATCAGGAATGGAGGCTTCACTGTGAAAACGAGATGATTGTACCTGTGACCTGAGGGATGTACGGGATGGAGAGCCGCTCTGCGTTGTATCCTGGACCTGCCAGACACTCGGCCATGTCGGCCGTCTGGAAATACAGCTGTCGGTCCTCTTTGTCCAGAGATTCGGGGAGTCTGGGAGGAGAAAGGGATGAAAACTGAGATCCAACATCTCCGAAGAAACATCTGGATGAATCTGCAGATAATCTACAGGAAGCTCTAAAGCGCTCGAGTCCAAATTTAGCCTCTGAAGCTCCTGTTTGTCGCTGCAGAGGGCGAAACTATGAGGCGGATTTAAATCAGAAATAGACTCTGCTTCTTATAATCTCATAATCAGGTTTTAATGCAGATGCTGCTGATTTTTAGGACGGAGCTGAGAGCGAATGAAACCAACTGAGGAGGGGTTTCTAGTCAGTGTTTCCAGGTGAGGACTTGTGAAGGTGTGAATCTGAAGCAGGACGAACAAAGATCTTTACAAATAACAAAGACTTAAAGGTTCAGCAGAGTCTTCCAAACATCTTTGTCATTTCTAATCTCGCCTGCAGCTTCCAGTTTTCATGTTTTCAGTGAGATTTTTATGTATTTTTTTGTCTTAATTTTGAAACCTAAATCTCCAACAATCTCCCCTCAGGCAGCCGAACGTCTACATCCCAGCAGATTCATCGTCTCTTTACGTCAGATACTTTTGTTGTTCAAAGGGATGACAGTGAATCTGATCTCAACTTATCAACATTTGGAATTATAATAATGAAAGATAAGAACAGAAATCTCACAAACTGGACTCCAGGGTTGAGTTATTGAAGAAGTATGTTTGTTGTTTAAGAACAACGAAAATACATTTGTGAAACGTTTAGACAACAAACAATATTTATGGATGAGAGAAAAGAGGATTTAGAAATGTCATAATGAATATCTGAGAAGAAAAAACATTACCAAAAATTAAAGAAATCAGCAGTGATGTACATGATGGACTGAGGGCATCATATGTGTAAATTAAAAAAGAAAATAATTCAGAGCCGTGCCAGAGTCAATAAAACTGGAAGAAAAAAGTTGAGTCGGCCCCAAATATATGACAATGAATTAGAGCCATTCTAGGATTTAAAAATATATATTAAAAAAAACAGATGAATGGATGTAATATTCTGCAAAAGACCCACAACTTCTGAGATTAAAGTCATAAATTTATGAGAAAAAATGAAATATTCTGTAAGAATAATAAGTCTGAAAAAACTCACAAATTCTCTGAGATCTTAGTCACAAGTGTATTAATTTTAAAGTAATAAAATTGAGAGAAAACACTCATAAATGAAACGTCATCCTCAAACATGCTGTGAGATTATAAAGCCATAAATTTGAAAGAAAAAAAAACTTTTTTCCCCTTTTGTTTCTCTTATTTATTTATTTTTTCTCTTAAATTTACAACTTAAATCTTGTACAGATGGTTTCACCATTCACTGGCTCCTCATCTTATTATTATTTTTTTATCCATAACAGTTAAAATACGCCAACATAGATCACAATCTTTTTTTTTTCTTTTCTTCATTTTTCTGTTAACATTCTGAATTTTCAGTATTAGATTTCTAAAGCCTTCATCAAAAGTCTACATTGAAGACATTGTATTTTCTGATTGGTTCGTTGCCTTTAACGGTCACATGGATTTTATTTTGTTGTTGTTCCTTAAGAACTTATGAAAACGCTCCTTTATCTGAGTATTAATTAAATGTGATTAGAATCGCTCGCATCAATGTCAAAGTTTTTCTTTTCTTGTGAGTTTGCAACTTTAATCTCAGAGAATTTCTAATTTATTCATGTTTTATCCCCAACTTTTCGTATATATAAGGCATTGGTAGTTTAAAATGAGCTTTCTCAACTTCCTGGTGATGTTTTCTCGTTTAAATGTTGAGGTTTAAAGATGTTTAAAGCTTTATTTCTGTTGAGTTGTTTAAACAGATTTGATATGATTAGGTCATAAAGAACTTGAAATTTTCCCGGTGAATGATTTTAGTCTCTAGAAATGTTCCGTTGTGGACACTTACGGACACTTGTCTCTGAAGATGTGTTCTGGGAGGAGATACGGAGCGTCCAGGTTCCTCAGCTCAATCACCTGAAGGGAAAACAGCGCAAACAGCAAACGTCATGGTCGATAAATAAAGAAAGGACCGGGTTCAACGGCACAAAACTGTCCAGTGGAAGCTGCACCTTGCTGACGTGCTGACAGAACGGCGGGTTGGCGATCATCTGGCTCAGGAAGTTGAGGTACGCCGCCACCAGCGCGTTGATGCCACAGCGGATGAACATCGGCATGTTCTCCTCGTTGCCCAGAGCCATGTCCTGCACAGACCAGACAGGAAGTTCAGCTTTAACTGTCTGTATTCATTAAAGATTAATCGAGCACCTGCATAGTTTGTGGTTTTCCAAAAGGACGTCACATTTCGCTGTGAGACTTCGATATTGAAACACCGCCAGCATCGTTGTGGTGTCATTCCTGCACACTTGAAGTATTTCTAGGATTTCTGCTGCTAGTTGGACTTGTTCCTAAATCCTTCTTCCTAAATTCCTGCTGCACTTCATAAAGATGCTTTGTGCAGGTATTCTTATATCCATGACCAGAGACTGAAGCATGCAGGAAGGAGTTCTGCCAGTCGACTGAGTTCTCACCCCATCAGCAAAAAGGTCAACCGAGTACGATGCAGAGTGTTTCTGTGGTCATTTGTTAGCATTGTGACGTGGTTTTAACGGTCACATCTGTAACGGTCTCTTGTCGTCTCCTCTCTGCTCTGTAGAAGCTCTGCCTGCAGTCCAGTCGAACCTTCTCTGTTGGTCACAGCTGAGTCAGTCATAGAGAATCCGTTCTCAGAAAGTTTGGCTGTTTATTGGTTCTGGTGCAAATTATATTTGACAAATGTGTGATTGAATCACCTAGAATAAAGTGATTCCAATTAAAAGTCACAGTTTTAAGCTTTAATTGAGTGGATTTTCTTGACAGATTCACACGTCACACATCATACACTCATAGACTGTCAGCAAACTAAATATCTGACGATTCTTCTGTTTTTACAGTTTCTGGCTCCAATAAATAATGTCATTTTGGTGATTAAAAAAAAACAAAAAAAAACAAATAACATGCCTTTTAATCCCTTGGGCTGGTTGTGGGGTTAATCTGCATTTTATTTTCTTTCTTTCTTTCTTTCTTTCTTTTTTTTTTTTTTAAATAATTGTGTTAATTGTGTTTATATTAAAAAAAAAAAGGTCTGACTTTGTCTGTCAGTAGTCAACTAAAACCTAAATATTAACCAGCTAAATATCACATTGAAGAAGCTGCAACCAGCAACAGAATGACCTTGATGTCACACTTTGGTTATTGAGACAGTTTTTAAAAAATGAGGATGAAAAAAACGAGGATGAAATGTAGTTGTTGATGCTTTTTTACTCACAAAATTGGCGTTTTAGACATAAATAGAGAGATAGACAGGAATTCCTGGGTACAAGGACAAATGGAGCTTCAAGTAATAAAATACCAAACAGTTTTTAAACACTCTGTGCAAATGTATTGAATTAAATCATTTTAAGTATTAAATAAAAAAAAAACAGTCAGTGTAAAGTCACTATATATTTTTATTGTTAGCATTTGACACTTCATGGTGCATTTTTAAAGTCAGGACATTTTTTATTTATAGTAAATTTTACACTTCATTGTGCATTTTGTATCTTAGAATTTTTGAAATTATATTTCTCTGTCTCTCTCTCGCTCACTCTCTAAATATATTATTGTGGCGGTATCGTTTTAAAGTGTAGTTTTGTTGAATGCACCACACACTCCTTATATGAAAACCTAATCAGTGTGAGTCCCTGTAGATTTTAGTGGAATGAAACACTTTTAGTGGTTTGACAATGTAAATTCTGTACATCCTTGTCACAAAGACACACTTTATGGATTCTATGAGGGTTAAAGACGTGTAGAATCGGGGTGGAGGACGTGCACATAACCTCGGTGGTTGTGTTTGTGTCTTGTCGTGACATTTGGAAATGATCAGATCTCAGCGTGAACCTCCGACATGCAGCTGCCGTGAGTTTGTGTGCATCGTCGTCTTCACACCTCGGACACGCACGAGGTTTTATCGGACGTGTGTCGACTGCAGTCTAATGACATTAACGAGTCGACTGCTGACGACGACAACACGGCTACTCATCAAACACACAAACGTGACAGCAGCAACACAATCACACGGAGGGCTTGTAGGTGAAGCATCGTAGAGACTGTTTATGAGTGTCTTTACTTTATTAGTGTGCAAATCAAGTTCAGCTTCCATTCTTTCACTTGTTTCCTCGTGTCTCTGCTTCATTCGTTGTTCTTTGAATTTTCTATGGAAGGTGCGATCAAAAAGTTGTGAGACTGCAACTTTTTTTTTTTTTTTTAAATCCCAGCGTATTTAAATTTGGCTGTCATCCTGACTGAAGTAGTCCTCTTGTGCAGCGTTACACAATTGTTTCACCATGCTGAATGTATCTCCAACAACTTGCTCCTCTGTTCACTGTTCTTGAGCCATGCTGTATTTATTTTATTGATCCAGTAGGTTTGATTTTCCTCTCAGTCGCTCTTGTCGTCTCCGTATTGTGTCTCATTTGTCATTTTGTCTCATTTTTTGTGTCTTGTTTTTGTTGCCTTGAGTCTTGTTTTTGTTATTTGTGTCTCATTTGTGTCGCTTCGTGTTTCAGTTTATTTTGAGCCTTATGTCATTTTGTCTCTTTGTGGTGGTTTTGTCTCCACATACTGCAGTTATTGAACTATTTCCATGTATCCAACCTCTATAAACATTTCCTCTCTACTCTGCTCATCAGCTGTAGAAAGATGTTTCACCATGCTGGATGTGTCTTCAACAATTTGCTCCTCTGTTCACTGTTTCTGAGCCATGCTGCATTTATTTTATTGATCCAGTAGGTTTGATTTTCCTCTTAGTCTCTCTTGTCGTCTCCCTTTTGAGGATTGTTTGTCATTTTGGCTAGTTTTTGCCCATTTTGCGCCTCATTTTGTGCCTCATTTTTGTCATGTTGTGTCTTATGAGTCTTGTTATTGTTGTTCTTTTTCTTGCTTTGTGTCTCCTTGTGGTGCTTTCTTCGGTTTGAACTGCAGTCTTTGTCCAAAAAGCAGCATTTTTCTTTACTTAAATCAGTCTAATAACCCTAAAACGTGTTAAACGATTCCATTAAAATGAGCTTCTGCAGAGAAAAATGGTGCGATGTGACCGAAAGCTCCAGAAAATTAGATTATTTTCGAAAGCCACAAATTAGAGCAGAAAAGCGTCCAGTGTCCATGAGGATAGAGAGTTTGTCGGTTTTACCTGCAGAGCGATGGAGAGCCGGATCAGGTCGATGACCACTTCCTCGTTGGCCAGCTCGATGGTCAGAGTGGCCAAAGTGGTGAAGAGCAGCTCAAAGTTCTTGTGGACGTTGTCTTCCTCTTTGCATCCCAGATAGATGTGACGGTAGAGCTGCTGGCCATGCTGGAAGAGACCAGGAGACAAGACAGATTTAGCTGGAGCACACTGAACGGGAAACGATGCAAAGAAAGAAGAGATGTAATGTCTGAGAAACAGCAGATCAGACAGTTTATGAGATTTTGCATGTTTTTGCTTTTGCATGTTGCTGATTATATCTGCGATCTCTTGAACTCTGCTGAGGTTTAGTGTTTGAATCCCCAAATGCTGACTCCTCCAATCCCCCCTTTTTTTTTTGTAATCCGCGACACCAGAATCTGCATTTGGAAATCAAACCACCTTCTTTGGCTGTTTAACCACCAAGTTCTAACTCTATTGTCGCCTAAACCTTGAAATTCACTTGTGTATGTAGTTAAATATGTTCTTAGTAACAGTTTACTTGCTCCTTCATTTGTCACTGACCTTTTAAAGAGTCCATATTCTGGTTTTTGAAAAAGAAAAACAGGCCCAGACTGTTCAGAGGTGCTGCAGCAACGTACAGTGTGAGCAAAGTAATGTGTATTTTTAACATTAAAGCATGTGAGTGTGTTCTAGCAGAGATAAAACTATAAGCCTGTATATGCTCATAATTCATGTCTTAAAGCTGTTCAGATCATTAACCAACCTGATTTACAGTGAATCTCCACAATCGGAGGAACTTTTCATTATTTAATGATAGGTACCATAAAAACAACATTTTAAGTCAATTACTTATAAAAACGAAGTTGTTTCAACTTGAATTTCCATGTTATTTAAAAGGAATTTAAAAATGTTATTTATGCTTAAGCTAAGTTTTTAAGCTGTCAAAATTAGATTAAACTTTTTTTTTTTTTTAAATGGTGAATCCAGTGTTCAATAAGTTAGGATTCAAAATCATACGTTCAACATGAAAGAAATGTACTTATCAAGCTAATTTAATTAAGTTAACCTAAATTTAACTAATGTAGAAATTTGAATTTAAATTACACAGAATATTAAGTTAATTCAACATTATTATATCAACACAATCCACCAAAATAATATTAGCAACCTAAGAGGTTAATCTAAATTACAGAATTAGATTTTTTTCTTCTGACAGCTGTGCATTTAATTAAGCAGTAAGAACAGGTTTCTTGAATTATTTTTTAGAAAATTTAGTCCACATGACTGATCAGCTGTTTCTAAAACGTGAAACATGTTTAATATCAGCTGACAAGAAAGATGAAAACTACATTCCTGTTTTTATAAATATCTCAAAATACTTCATGTATGATTTGCAGATGGATAAAGTTTTGTTTGTGTTTTCAACTTTGTATTTTTATTTTTTTTATTTTTTTTTAGCAGCAACTACATTTCGTTTCCTGCTTCTTCTTCTGTGTTCATCACAGCCATGTGGCCTACAGCGCCACCTGCTGACAAAGTCACACAGCTGAGTTTATTCGCTAATGGACTTAAAGCTAGTTTGCGACACGTCAGTTGTGTGGTTTTGTCTTTTAAAGTCGTGTTATTGTCATTTTTTATTTTAGTTTTATTGGCCTTTAATAGTATTTATTGCTAATGAGGCAATGTGACCCTCAGGTTTATATGAAAAAGAGGCATCTACATTTAGTTTTCCAGTAATTAATTTTAGATTCTTCTTTGCTTCCTGCTGTCCTGATTTACATAATTAGACTGAATTAATTAACACTCAGCTATCATTTTTCAAATAATCATGACAAACATTTTTCAGGATTCACTGCCTTTCTTTGTCTTCTGTGACAGCAAACTGAATATATTTGGGTTTCGTTCACACAAAACGAGATATTTTCTTGAAGACGCCATCTTGGGCTTCAGGAAGGCTACGTCAAGCATTTTTTAAAACGCATTTCTGACATTTCATTATCCGCAAGTTAATGGCTCAGTCGAGAAAATAATCAGCAGATTAAATGCTTAATCGCCCTATTCTGAGAATCACCAGCTCTGCAGCGGCTCGACTCTCCGTGATGTGAATGAGAAAGTTATTGTGCCAGAAAATGAAAATGCCAAAGAAAAGATTAATCCAATTAAGCGAATCAGCCTAAAAATAGCTGCGAGTGTCAGAGGCCTCCGCTGCTGGAGACGGTCTTCATTAAGTAAATAAAAACTCGGGCTGCAGGCTTCTTGCGTGTGGATCCAAACACTTGACACGCAGGTTAATGGAAAGTGAAGGCCGCGACTTCTATTCAGCGCTAATGAATTACAATTAGAGCGCGTTAATGACCTCTGACAGCAGGTGGGAGTCGGCGGCAGCTTCACCTGCTCCGTTGAAGTAAGGGGAGGTGAGCATGGTTTCCGGCCCGCCGGTTCTTCTTCCAGGTGTTTGACGTGTCGCTAAAGGTTACAGCTCAGGTGTGATTCACAGGTGAGCAGCTTAAACTGAGGGCCTCTTTTTGGAAATGTCACGCGCTGATGGGGAGCTCTGTCAGGGTCGGTAAGCTCAGAGACGCTGTTAAATCAGTGTTCTGTAAAAGAAACCTTCCTTCTGGGGATGTTGGTTTGCTGCTTCAAACAACTCACCACATTAAGTAGTCATGGTTTTTCATAGAGATAGAACTGTCTGCATTCCAGAAAGCTCTTAGAACGTCTAAAGTTTTACAGAGTTGCAGCAACTTCTACATTTCAGTCTGGCATATTTCCCATTAACGCGGCCATTAGCATCATGCTAACTTTGCGGTCTTTGGCTTCAGAGTCTCCAAAGAAGAGTCTGAAAGCAGATTTGCATCAGTGTTTTTAAGTTGTGACAATTTCTAATTAAATTATGTTCAACCAACCAACAAACATGGAGTTAAGAAAATCAGCTTTTCTTCCGCAATGAAAAGTGATTTTAATAACTTATTGATTGGTAGCACAAACACAGGTTCATAAGTTGATTACTCAAAAAAATCTAGTTGTTCCAACATTTCTACATTGTTCTGAATCAATTTTTAAAGCGTTGTTTACTTTATTACCATAAGGACGAACACAAGTTACTCAAATTAAGTTGAGCAAATTTAAAAAATAAGTTCACTCAATTTGAAGTAGGTTGGATAAAAGTACTTAAAGTAATGACCTCAAAGTGAAGAAAAACGGAGCCGATTTAATTAAGTTACCTCAATTTAGTTTTCAATCAATGCAGAAATTTGAGTTTAACTTACACACGATATTAAGATGATACAACATTATTACATCAATCCAACCCGTTGTCATCGTCATGCTAACTTTGTATTCACTGGCTTCTTTGTAGACATTTAGACTTTAGCGTGAGCCCGCCGTAGCTCTCCAAGGAAAGACGATTACCACATGAATTATTTTAAAAAATATATTCAACATATATTCGATATGACTGAAAGGCAAATCAGCCACCTGGAACATTTTTTTTTCATACTGGGAAGCTCTGGAACTTTGAAGCAAACAATTAATTTGATCAACTTAGATTTTGTACCTTCTTCATAAATGCAACGTCTTGTTTGGAAATCTTCTCTCTTTTGATTTTCAGCGCTGCGACATTTGGAATAATTCTGCAACACAGAAAGAAAAAATAAATCAATTAAACAGGCAAGTAATGGGAAACCAGTTCTGGAGATCAGCTCAGTTTGCAGCGTTCCCAATTAATAATAAATGAAGTGTTACAACAATATCTTAAATCCTGGACGCAAGACATTTGCAAGCAAAATAGGTTGATTACATTAACCCCTGAGCGATGGTCAGAGGTGATTAACCTTCACAGAAGTCTTTGTCATGGTGCCCGTTGCTAGCTAAACTCCCACAATGCTCTCTGGTTGCCAACATGAACTGTCTGTAGTCTGAGTGATTCCTCCTCTGGTCTCTACAGTTTTAAAGAGTAAGAGGCTCCACCTGGTGGAACAACCAGGAACTACAGCTGATCTACGATGCATTTTCTGATATTCACATCTTTTGTTTTCTACCTTATCGTTTAATATATTTTAATTGGTCAAATCATAACCAACCCTAGTTAAAAATCTAGGGGAAAACGTTTGATGCACCAGTGCAACTAATGTAAAAGGTTAGTCCTGAACACCGACCTGATGCCGCGTAGCTTGGCCCGGTTGTCGTGGCGATCAATGATGTTGTGCAGGATCTCTAGCACCAGCTGCCTCAGTTCACTGTCCTCCATCAGGGAGATGGAGAACAGCGGGTCCAGGAAGGGAGGAGGCAATGCCGCTGCCATGGACTTAGACTTGAAGCCAGAGGTCACCTGAGGTGGAGGAGAGACGGGGGAGGGAGGTGAGAGTCAACTTATGGCAACATAATGTGATTAATCAACGGAAAACAACGGAGCTTAAAGGTTATGTTCACAAGCAGCTGGAACTGTCCAAATGTTGACCTTTTCCATCGTATGTGACTCTGATGTGATGATTAATGATCCCAGTGGGAGGCCTTAAACCAAATCTGATTATCACCACATTCACTCTGCAGATCGGCACATGCCATTTACTGCTGCCGCTGTCCTGTATGTGACATGATGCAGAGGGTTGATGCCCGACTCCAGCCGAGCTTGATGTAACCGTGGAAACGCCTGGGTTTAAATTGGATGCAGTGAGATTTAAGGGTCAGTTCAGGTTGCGATTTCAGAGCTGATACTGTGCAATATGAGAAAAACTCTGCACCACATCTCTGTGATTCATTCCCAGCAGTTCAGTCCAGGCTCTGCTTCTACTCTTATATTTCATGTTAACCCTCTGAACACTTTCATTGCTCCTGTCACATTTTCCGTGGCCTCGTTTTTTACCGCAACATAAAGTCCTGCACCTCTACGGAAACAGAACAACCGAGATTATAAGGAGAGAGGATTCAGAAATGTCTTCTGTCAGTATGACACAGGTATAATGTCATAAAAAGACTAAAGTGAAAGTTGAATTTCTCAAAAGTAAAAAATCTAAACTGGAATGTACAACCTTTTTGCCTACAAATGTAATCAACAGATGGCTCCACATGATAGAGTTAATATTGTTTTACTATTGACATTTTTTAAAACCTCCACAAACTCTGCATTTTTGTTTTTTGTTTGGTTCTTTTCTCAGTGTACATTGCTATCTCCTTGCTGCTCTGTGAAAACACTACCTGAAAATGCCATGAAAGATATGTTTAAAATGGGAGAATACTGTAATATTCAATAACTGCAAAATGGTGAAAAAAAATCTGTATATAGGATCCTTAATTAATATTTAAATATAATATACTGTGCAAAATGACAGATATAATGCCATAAATCATTAAAATACATATTAAAAAAAAAAAAAACAGTGAAAATTGAAGATCTTTGATTAATTGTTCTACAAAAATTGGGAAAAAAAAAAAAGTATTTTATAGTTTTCTAAGTGCCTCCAGATCTGGGGAAAAAAAACAAATATGGCTTCACTTAATGAAGAGCCTTTCCTGTTCACAAACTCAATCATTTTTCTCTCTACCCTGTAGAATCTTATTTATTTATTGCTCTTGTGCCTTATTTTTGTTGTTTTGTGTCTCTTTGTGGTGGTTTGTGTCCACATATTTTAGATTTTTTAGAGAATCTGGTGGGAAGAAAAAGTTGATTATTGGCAAATTTATAAATCAAACATGGATGAAGATGATGAAATATCTTGATTTGAAGGTTATACGTGGCTGTGTTTTCTGAGGGAACAGTTTCTTGCTGATAAATGGTGTCATTTTGGGGGTTTTCTTTTTAAAGACAACATGCTTTCGAAGCCTCTGGTGGGTTTTGGTGTTCAGAGGGTTTCACACCTCCCGGATGAAGCGACTGAAGCAGCGAGTGATTCACCTCCAGCCTTCACCCCGACCACCGATCCTCCAGCGTCTGGGTTTGGCCCCGACGCTCTTTGGTGTCACCACCACCACACAGACACCGATTAAAACGACACGATCCTCTTACTTCCTTCTGCCCCATCTGCAGCTGCGTGGCGTTATAAATATTCTGACCTTTCACCCTCCTCCAGCTGCACCGGGGAGCAGGTGGCGTCGAGCCGGGGGGGGCGGCTGAGGACATCCAGCCGATACGAAGCGTGCACGGACCGCCGGCGTGCACGAGGATGCAAGCAGGAAAAGAAGCCAATGTGTATCTGCGTGCATGTACCTGCCACCTGCCTCCTCAACCGACTGGTAACGAAGGAGAAGGAAACGCCAGAGCTCCCAGATAATAAATACCTGATTAAGTCTTTATATAAGGAAGGAAATGTCAAAAATGAGCCACAAAAACCTGCTGTAAAGCTGCTTTTAATTATTTTATGATTAGTCGCATCGTTTCTCTTTTAGTCTAAATGTTAAATTCCTATTTTAAAATATCTTCCTTAGTCATTAGTGGCCATTTTGAACTGCTACCAGACATTGTATTTGGGACTGTGCTGTCCTTTCTCTGGTATTTTTTTTGCTATTAAACCTGATGCAGCCAATTAGCTAATGACTGCCCTCCTGGATATGTGAGAAAAATGCATAAAATTGTAAATCCAGCTGCTGTTAGAGGACTAACTTATGTGAACTCAATCTGAAAACAACAAGGGCAATAAAAACCTTAGAAAGCACCTCCAGAAACAGCCAAGACATCACTAATCTAATAAATATATATTACCTTCAGGCTGTCTATGACAGATAGAAGTATTGAAACATGTGCTTTAGTCATCAGACAGTACAGTCGGGTTAAAGGCTCACCATGATGAGGGAGCTGAGCAGCATCGTCTGGATCCTCTTCGTACCCTGATGCCTGAGTCATAAAAAAGAAGATTTTCAGTCAGAACAAAAGTCCAAAATGGTGAATTTAGCAGCAAGTAAATGTGCTTTTCTTTTATATGTGTAATTTGCGCACATTCTGAGGGATGAAAGTCTGCATCAGTTTTAAAAGAGTGGGCACTACGGGGCGTTGAGATAGACGTGAAGATGAAGGAATGACGTCATTTGTGTGTAGAAATTAAATGGTGTGAAAGTCAAGACGGGCTTTCGCTTTCTTTTGACGCCTTTTGTCCGAGATATCAACTTTTTTCAAATACTTGTAGTTAAAAAGCAGCATACTATCAAAAAAAAACCAAACAGATAATGTGTCCACCAGCGTTATCAGAACTGGAGGAAATAACAACTGCTGACATGGGAGGGAAGGGCTCTGTGTCTGAATAGTGTAGTTTATTAGCTGCACATAGAACGGACACAGCTATAAATAAGCTAAATACTTGGAAAATGGACATACAGGAGGACAGTGATGAAGAAGAAGAAGATGGAATGAAGGCACAGAAACAAACTACTACAGCATAAATGATGAAGTTGAGTCTATATGAATAAATAATGTATTTATTTATTGAGCACTGTATTTATCTTTTATTAATTTGTGTTTTATTTAATCTATTTGTATACTATGATTATTTGGATTTACTTATTTTATTTTACTTATGTAACCTTACTTTATTTTGTCATTTTAAGCAGGGTTTGGTGATCTGTGATGGTGCAGCGTTTGTTTATGTGTGTTTTGTTGTTGGAAATTGAAAAATAAAAAAGTTTCTAAAGACAAATTTTTGAGGGAAAAATGGTGTGAAAGTCAAATCAAGCATTAGTTTATAATGTCTCATGAGTTTTTTTTTAATTTTATGTACCTGTGTCTTCGTTGTTCTGACACTATTCAGCGTTAGTTGAGTCACTTTACTGAAGCCTAATTATAGAAGAGTGACCAAAGGTTGAAGGTTGAAGGTTGAGGTCAATCACAGAAGACATGTTGACCCCTAAAAGGACGACCTCAAGTTTCTTACATGGTTTGGACGCTATTTAAACGTACAACCTATTTACAACGAGCCAATAGGAAAAGAGTTTGTTCACCGTAAATGCTGTTTGTTGCACTTCTTTGTAGGGGAGAGAGAGAGGGGTGAGGGGTGAGGTCCCTCCCCCCCATGGTGAATAGAGTCTACTCCATTGCAATGATGCGATTTCATTTTTCACATTGTTGACAAAAATACACGTACGGACAACGCAGCAGTATGTTTGTTATCTTATTGAAGGGCAGAATCCCAAGAGTTAACGGTAAACGTGCTTTCTGGAGTTCGAGCTGTCATTCATGATTCTGTGAGGTTTACATGAGAACTTAGTGAGCATCAAATCTGCTGGGAAAAGGTCCAATGGAACAGCAGCCACAGAAAAAAAACGTTAAAATTACGCTTCAATGCTTCTCAAACTGCACATAAAAACTACAAACTTGCATAAAGAAATTGCCTTTATCAGAATTATTGACTGTTTTTTTAATCAAACCTGCCTTATTTGTGCTGAAATTCAACTTTAAATGTCACTTTTATTACTGCAGGATTAACATACTTTACCCTCACCATACATACAAACACTTTCTGCTCTTAGTGTTTTCCTCAGTTTAAGCTGTTATTCAAGGTTCTGGGATATTTTCATGAGAAGTTATTAAGCATTAAATGAATAAAATATTTTAGGAAAAGGCCCAACTGAACAGCAGCTTCAGAAAAATGCTTCCATTCTTCTCAAACTACAAACATGACAAAATTACATTTATCAGCATTTCTGATCGTTTCGGTATCAAACCTGTTTATTTGTTGCTGAAATGTAACTTTAAGTTTCGCTTTCATTGCTGCAGAATTAAAATGATTTTCCCTTTACTCATATTATTTTGGCAATTTGTGACATTTACATGAGAAATTATGAAGCATCAAATGAGTAAAATCTTTTAGGAAAAGGCCGCAGCTGCAGAAAAGATGATGCTTCCAGTTCTTTCAAACCACACATGAAAACTACAAACATGCATGAAGAAATTGTATTTATCAGCATTATTGATTGTTTTTTTTTAATCAAACCTGCCTTATTTGTGCTGAAATTCAACTTTAAATGTCACTTTCATTGCTGCAGAATTAAATATTTCCTCCTCCACTTGTATACATTTCTTCTTGTTTCTTCTTGTCAGGTGGAATTTGACATTTAAGGCAAAGACATAACGGTGTTGAGTGAGTGCAGCTGCAGGTCAACAGCCAGCTGCTTGACTCGTAACGTGAAATAAAAGGCTGATTTCTTTATGTGGAGGTGAAGAGGAGGAGAACGTTCCTGGAAGCAGCTCTTCACTGTCGACTCTCTAAGATGTAGTTGGAGTGCATCGCGTTTCTCTCCTCCAGCAATCAGCCAAAAAGGAGAATCGAGGAGGACGGTGTTCATTTGATCTGGGATTATCTGTTCCTGCTCTCCCGAGGCTGGATTAGCTTGTTTCTGTTCTTTCCTGCGTCTCGGTGACCTGAGAGATGAATCCGCCGCAGGACGTCCACGACGGATTAAGACACAATTCCCTTTAGGTGAAGACGAGTGTGTGTTTGGGAGGTCTTCATGTGACCAGGTGCTGCATCACATGACTTTTTATTTGTGAAAGCTTCTTCACTTTTAGCAGCTAAAGACTGAACTCCAATCAGTTTCTGGGCTTTTTTGTTCTTCTTTTTTTTTTTTGTTAGCATCATGATTTTTGTCTCTGTTGGTCAGTTTCTTTACTACAATATAAAGTCGTGCATCTCTGTGGAAACATCACGACCATGAAGTCTCCTTTTGGTCATTTTGTGTGTTGTTCTTGTTGCTTTGTGTCTGTTTGTGGAGGTTTTGTTTCCACATACTACAGATATTGAAGTATTTCCATGTTTTTACAGACTTTTTCTTGACTCTGCTCATCCACCATAGAAAGATGTTTCACCATCCTGAATGTATCTCCAACAACTCACTGTTTCTGAGCCATGCTGCATTTATTTATTGATCCAGTAGGTTTGATTTTCCTCTCTGCTCTGTGGAATCACTGCCTGCAGTTGAATGCGGCATAAAGTTTGTTAAACTGAGACATGGATGCTCTAAACAAAAACCTGGCAACAAGATGTTTATTATCCAACTCTGTCCAGTCACAGAGTTGTTTCTGTATTTGTTTTGTAATATTTTTATTACCGTGAATGCAGTTTTCCCTGATTTAGATTTTTAAAATATGCATCTGGATGGTTATATATATTTTTTTTCCTTCATTTCATTCATTTCTTTTATTTGAGCTGATTTATTTTATGGATGGTGCAGTTATATATGTTTGCCATCTTATGTTGTACTCGCCTCTCTGGCTTCTTGTCATTTTGTAATTTTCGTCTTTTCGACGTTAATTTAAATTATCTGTTAATTTCACATAAACACCTTCTGCACAAAGTAATAATGACTTCAGCCATCTAGTTCAAATGTTGTCATGTTTTTAGTTAAAAGCGTAATTTTAAGCAGCCTTTATAACTTGTATTAAATTATTATGAGATTTTTTTCATATGTTTTAGGAGATAAAATCATCTGTGTTAAAGGCCTGCTGTGTCGACGCTGTAAAAAGAAAACAACAGTTGCTTTAAAAGGGATGTTTAAAGAAGGATAAACCTGGACTTGAGACAGGCTTTCCGTCTGACTTGGTTCAGTATAAAACAGTGAAGGCGGCTTTGGTTAAACGCTCTGATTGGGACATAAAGCCGACATGTTCCACATCAGGAGCTCTGTAGGAACCTGGCGAGCCTCAGAGGGTTACTGACCCGATCTTGACGGTGTCCAGAGTGTGGCAGGGAGTCCCGTAGACCGGCACTTTGCCCATAATGAACATCATGACTTCAGCTCGCTGGTAGTCGGGCAGGTTTCCACCGAAGAAGCCTGGAGGAAAAACACACTTTGAACGCCTCTTTATCTGGATAAAACCCTCAGAAACACACAAGGAGGAGGAGATCTGTCCTACCAGCCAACATCTAACCGTATGAATCCTCCACTTTGTGCAGGAATCACAGCTAAAACATTGAACACTTAAATCTAAACTATATCATCAATAACATTGGAATACTACTGGTCAATACTTGGTACAACATTAGTTCTTGCATCACATGGAGCATTTTTATTTCATGTTCAAATAATCATTTTTTCATTTCTCAGGTGTAACATTTTAGTTTAATGTGTGACATTGTCAACACAATGTGCAATATTTCAGCATCATGTGTGATTATTACTTATTAAATCAGTAGAATTGTCAGCGTTACTTCTTACTGGTCAAGTCTTATATTAGTTTACTTATTGAATTTCAGTAATGAACACGAAAATCTGTCGGCAAGAGGCCAAAAAACACGTAAAAAACAAAAACAAAACAAAACCACAGAATACTGTGACGTTCAAAAATGGCAAAACTGTATAAATAACGGCAAATATCTGATTTCAATGAAGAAAACTGTAATTTCACAGTCTGATGTTGCAAAAGAATGACTATTTGTAAAAAAAAATTTGAAGTAGATATTATTTACAGTTTTGACCTGTTGTATTTATTTTTTTAAAGCCAATAATCTAAATTACTGTCTAGAATTTTCCATGTACATGTTTCAGTGTTGCTGAGGTACAAACAGTAACTGGCTTAAACTGTAAAACATTGATATTGTTGCTGGTTAAACAGAGTTAAAAAAACAAACAAAAAAACTGGGATTTTACGGTCAAGATACGGAACAAACTAAGAACAAATTCATATTTGTAAAAATAACAAATTTGGGCCTGTGTGAATACTTTTTTTCCTGTGATTTTACGAGTTAATATCTGTAATTAAACAACGATTTAAAAAAATTACTCCCTAATTTTCAATCATTAATATGCAAAATTTGGATAATGATATTTTTTGCAGAATTAAAACAGTCCAAAAAAAAAGTGTAATTTTACGTTGGTATCTAATGAATTAACATTTAAATACAGTAAAACTGTGTCATTTACAGTCACCGTAAGAGACAGTAAATTGTTTTAAACAAAACACACCACTTAATCCTCACTAGGGTCATGGGGGGCTGGAGTCTATCCCAGCTGACTTAGGGCGAAGGCAGGGGACACCCTGGACAGGTCACCAGTCTATCACAGTTAAAGACTTTATTTTTTAACACTGTAGCTTAAAATGATTTTAACAGTTTTAAGTTTAGATTCAGTTAATTTGCAAAATGAGTTTCTGCATCAGTGTTGCATTTTATTTCATGTGCAATATAATGTTTGATTTTTTCATTATCGTGTGTGATTTTAGGGCTGCAAGGTGGCTCGATGGTTAGCATTGTTGCCTCGCAGCAAGAAGGTTGCCGGTTCGCATCCCGGTGGGGGCACCGGGATCTTTCTGTGTGGAGTTTGCATGTTCTCTCCGTGCAGTGTGGGTTCTCTCCGGGTTCTCCAGCTTCCTCCCATAACGTCCAAAAAAAACATGTTGAGGTTAATTAGTGATTCCAAATTGTCCATAGGTGTGAGTGTGAGTGTGCTTGGTTGTCTGTCTCTAAGTGTAGCCTGGTGACCTGTCCAGGGTGTCTCCTGCCTTCACCCTGAGTCAGCTGGGATAGACTCCAGCCCCCCATGACCCTAGTGAGGATCAAGTGGTGTATAGATGATGGATGGATAAGTGATTTTACTTCTTACCTCAGTCAAATTACAGCATCACTTTTTATTGTGCTATTCTAGTCTTATTTAAGCTACTTGTCTCAATCAGTGATGTTTAGGCAGCTCTCATGTTACGTCATTTAGTTTATTTCTGAGCAAAATCCTGCACAAGAATTTAAGGAGGAAGAAAGTAAACTGTTGGTCTGACAGAACGTTATTTGGTCGTACCGATGGTTTGGATGATGGCGTTCTGGACGATTCGCTCTTCGCTCTCTTTGCCCCGACCCGACGACACGCTGGTGCTGGAGTTCCTCCTCGAAGTCTCACCGAGCTCGAAGTCGACGCTCATCCTCAGGTGTTTGAGCAGAGTGTTGAAAACCTCCAGCACTGTGGGACCTGCCACGAACACCAGCACCGTTAAATACATTTACAGAATCAAACAGATTTGGTTGCACAGACTTAGAGTCGAAGCTAAACAATCGATGGGTTACATTCAGGGACAAAACTCAGCAGGAGAAAGATGCTCAGCAGGTGTTTAACGGAAAAAAACTGGGACACTGTTATTATCTGTCTGAACTGTGAAGCAGCGACTACAATGAACCTTTTATCAACACATTACAAAGCACATTAGAATATAGTAAAATGATTTTTATGTTTCCTTAAATTCAATTTTTTTATTTATTTTTTTTTATTTCCTTTAAAAGCATCTTTAGGTGTTAAAAGTTTTCTTATTTACTTTAATTCTGCTGTGTTAAAGTTCTTCATTTATGTTTCCATATAAGTGTCAAGAGAACTTCAATTTTTAAAAGGTCACAAAAATATGTAATAAAAGAAAAACTGAATCAGCTCGCTCGCTTTGGAGTTAGCCTCAAAGAAAGTCAGCTCTTTGTTAACTAATAGAAACCTTCAAAAAGAGGGAAAAAAACAAAATCTTTGGCCACAAGAGACAAGAAAAATGAAGAAAAGTCTTCAGGAATTGTTTTTAATCAGGAGAGTTGAGATTATTTTTTAATGTCAGCTGGAATCGAACATGTTTTAAATGTTTGTTCCTTCAAAAGCTACTCCAAAAATAAGCTTTTAGTCTTTCAAAAAAAAGTCAAACCCCCTCTAAAGCGAAGATTTTTACATTTCTACAACTATTTCAAATCCAAAACTTCAACATCTGCACTAAAATATGTCATTAAAACACAAGGACTGAGACTCAGGACTGTTTTTTCACCAAATGTTAATATTCGCAGTTTCTTTTTCTGCACTTCAACCACACTTCCTCTATATTTCAGTTGAATATCTTTGGGTTTTTTGGAGTCGTTTGAATTTCTGGGTGCAGACGAGCAGATCAAAATCAGTCAATCTGTGTTTAATTTAAAAATCAGACGCAATAACTTCATTGATTGAGATTTTAAAGGGTCCATTAGAAGTTCTTAGAGAAGTGCAGCCATTTAATATGAGTATTTAGTTTGTAAAACAGTTTGAAAACTACACAGAAAATCTATTTTGCCGGTCTGATGGAAAAATCACATGAAAAATTAAATTATTGTCACGTATATGTCTTTTCAACTGTTATTAGCAATGATTTCTAGTGATATAATCAAACAGGTAACATGACCGGAACAAAGGTATTTTGTGCACCATTGATGGATTTTCACCTTAAAAAAGTAACAAATGTGACTTTTTTGCTAAACCTTGTCAGCTTCAGAGCTTCTGTGACAAACAGCAGCTTCAGACTTTTACTCAGGTCTGATCAATTTTGACTGAAAGCTTAAATAAAGAGTTAAAGAGCCTCCTGCAGCACACTGTAGCTTCTATGAGTCTAAAGTCTCCTGACTGGCTGCAGCCAAGCACAAAAAAAAGTGATTTCACAACAGGAAAGAACAAAACATTAATTAAACGGCTTCTTGTGGTGGAGCTGGACTCAGTGCATCCAGTTGTTCAGTCGTCTTAATTCGCTCTGTCACAGGAAGCAACACCTCAGATTATCAGGAAGTCGACTGCTTCAGCCGCCCGCAGCGCAGCAAACCCGTTTAATATGTGAGAGGAAACCGATAGCAGCACTCTGAACAAAACCCTAATGAGGAAAATAAGGTTAAAAAATGGAAATAAACCAAATAAACAGGCAGACGTCGCCCTAGTTATGACTGAACAAGAGCTAATTACTAAAACAGCTGCGTGTTACACCAGAAATGACTAGAAATCAAATAAAAAATCATCTAATTGTAAAATAAAACATGCAACAAAATGTTCCAACATGATAATCCTGCTGCTAACGTTGCATTCAGTGGCATCGCTAACAGTTTCCTTTCACTTCCAGTGTTTATGCTAAGCTAAGCTAACCAGGTCCGTCGACAAACACCTGCAACGAGAAGGTTTTCAGGCATTTCAAAACTTCACCTTTGACATTTATTCTAATCTACAGACACAGATCTGCTCACAGCATCACACCACCGTGTTATTCTACACAACACCGACACTCTGCTACACAAACACAAATCTGCAGATTCCCCCACGTTTGCACCATTTAGTTTATATTTTTGAATATTTTTCGCATCGTCATATACATTTTGTCGAAGCTCATTTTATTAGTTCAATCAAACACAGTAAAGTCAACACAGGACTGACTTTTCTCACATAAATCACAAATTTAGTGCAGCATCTTAAACTTAATTCCTCTAATCTTACTCGTTTTGTGTGTTTTCTGTGACAAATACCTCAAAGTTTGCACATAAAAGCTGGAAAATCGAACTGACTACACGTTCCTCCTGCTATTTCTGGTGACTGTGCATAAATTAAAACAGAGATTCTGTTAAAAATGAAAGTCCAGCTACACCTTAAAGTTGAATATATGGATGTAAACAGTTCACAGTAGCTGCCTGTAAATGAGCAGGAGTCTCTAAAATGATTCAATCTGAGCATGTTAAAAAAAAAACTGTTGATTTTCTGTGTTTGGTCATAAACAAAAACACACTGTGTTACTCCTGGATGTTGTTTTTGATGCCAGACATGTGGGGAAAGTCTGCAGAAACTCCTCTACTGTCAGTGTCTTCATACTGTACCAAGCCACAGATTGGGTGGAGTCGTGATTTCGCTTTCAAAGACGAACGCGTCGCTTCTCTTTGACTCCTGGATCATTCCTACCAGGAGGGAAGGTCGCGTTCTTACTGCAAGTATTTACACAAACTAACTGTTTGATTTATCGTCACCTCAGCGGGAGCTTTTCTTTCACCTTCACTTGACGCCGAATTTAAAATTAAAATTGATTTCTGTTCTCCTCGCAGGTGACAAAACCTCATGATTATTTAATTATCAGTTCATTAACATGTAAAACACATTTGAGCAGAAAATAAACAGAGAAAAAAAGAAAAAGCAAAGAACCAATCAGCACCTTTTAAACACCTTCGATTCTCCGTTTTGGCTTTCTGATTTGTTTTCCTGCGAGAAACGATTAAATTAAGATTCTTGTGTCGATGGATGGAAGCATCAGACTTGTTATCTCAGTAATTAAATATAAATCAGGTCATTGTAAAGTTTCCATATCTTAGTATCTTCATCCTTTGATCTGCAAGCAGCAGTTTCCGAGCCTTTTTTGCTCCTCCAGTTTTCCTCACTGTAACTCATTTTTCACTGCAGTATGAAGCCCTGCACCTCCATGGAAACAGAACAACATGAAGGAGGAGAGAGAACTCAGACATGTTTTGTGCAGCATGACAGAGGAGTAATGTCGCGAATCATAGAAAGACAAAAGCGAAAGTGACATTCCTTAAAAATGAAAACTACTCTGCTCATCAGCTGTAGAAAGATGTTTCACCATCCTGACTGTATCTCCAACAACTGGCTCCTCTGTTCACTGTTTCTGAGCCATGCTGCATTTATTTATTGATCCAGTGTGTTGGATTTTCCTCTCTGCTCTGTGGAAACACTGCTTGCTCTGAATAATTAGTTTTTTACTTTTAAAGAATTTGGTACAACCATTCTATTTTTGTTCCCTTTTGGAGACACGGATACTGTAAACTAACATCTGGCAGCAAGGGTGCCAAAAATTGCTTACTTATTTGCTATTATTGCTATATGCTATTATTTTTGTTTGTTTGTTTTGTTGTTGCCAACTTTGGAAAGCATCTTTGAGCATCTTGAAAATTGCAACATAAGTATTATTATTATTAATAATAATAACAATAATAACAACAACAACAACAATAATAATAATAATAATAATAAGAAGAAGAAGAAGAAGAAGAAGAAGAAGAATAACAACAACAACAATAATAATAATAATAATAATAATAATAATAATAATAATAATAATATGTTTTTAAAAATGGTGCAACACTTAACGCTCAAAAAACTGTAAAACCAAACAAAAGTAAAATGGCTGTAAAATAATTCAGTTTCTTGCTCATTTAAAAACAGTAAAACTGTCTGAATATTTGTCAAAGTCATGACGTCTCTGTTGTGTTGAGAAGCGCACAAGCGTTTCATTTTTTAATTTTTTTTATTTTACAGATTTTGGTACAAATGCTTCTTTAGGGCACCTTTTTAAAGGACACGTGTGGCATTAACACATTTTGATTAAACAAAATCTTAATTCAGGCTTATATTTTACTATTTTTTTTCTGATAGAATCACAAATCAAAAGTAAAATGTTGCAGGGCCACTGAAAGGCTGAAAATACAAAAAAATAAAATAAAATAAATAAAGTTTCCTTTTTTTTTTTTTTTTTTACTAGTTCCTGGTAATTTTGTCGACTTTTAAAACACAACATCTCTTTCAAACCTGCTAGCAGCCTTTGAAATTCAGAGCTTTAATAAATCTGATATTATCTTTTTCCATGATTGATGAATCAGCCAGTTTCCTAACACTTGATTTTTTTGTTTATAAAATGCAAGAAAATTGTAAAAATTGTCATTTTCAATTTCCCAATGACATCTTGTTTTAGTTCAAAACACAAATTATTCTGTTTATTTCAATATATGACATCAAAAAAGCAGCAAATCTTCACAAAAAAAGAAACTGGAAAAAAGAAATATCAGAATTATTGCTGAAAATATGACCCCAAAAAAAAAAAAAACCATCAGAAAACTACTGGCTGTGGTCGTTTTCTGTCCGTCTGACTGTTGCAGCTCTAATAATCTGTTTAATGAGATTTTGCACGCCATCTTTCTGACACGCCGGCTGAAGTGAAAAAACCTAAATAAAGTGCTTCCGTGCAGTGGGAGGTGTTGATATTAACACTTCATTTGCACCGTGACGTTTCCTCCTCGGATATATACAGAACCTATACAATAAATAACTCCTTATTTTTAACCGACATCCTCAAATCAAGTGACGAAGTGTTAACATGCTGACATGTAATAAAACAATTCATATCTGGTGATTTCAGGTTATTAACTCAATAAGAAATTCAAATACGAATTTAAATATTGAAAATCTCCTCTATTATGATTGATCTTTTCTTCTTTTCCAAACATTTTACAGACACCCCAATAATTAAAAAAGAACTTGCAGATTAACTGATTATAAAATTAATTGTTGGCTAATACTGTTTTTTCTGTGCACCTGTGTTCTAATATTATTCTAATCTTCCAGGCTAAACAAACATCTGTGTTCTCAGTTATTTCTGGATCTGGTGGATAAACTCAGTTAATTACCTTAATCACTGTATAATTTTTAATACTTTTATTGTTATTCTAATTGGTTTATTTATCTTTAATTACCCATGTCCTATTTTGTTTTCTCTGTTTGTTGTTTTGGTGCGAATTACGCTCTAAATCGATTTTTAACATTCTTCAGTTTGGTGCGACTGCATTCGATTTGTTTGAAATAAAGTTTGACTGCATGGTTTAGCTGTAATAACTGTGACGGAAGCTTTTTATCTCTGATTCTCTCTAAACCTCCTCAAACCTACTTTGTTTACACTGATGTTTAAGTGATAGCAGACTTCTTTTTTGTCATATTTGCTGCATTTCTTGCCACATTTTGTCCGTCTACAGCAGGGGTTCTCAACTGGTCTCACCCTGGGACCCACATGTTCCCATGGTCATTGAGTCGCGACCCAATTTTTTTTAGAATTCAATATTCAATATATTTTCCTGTGCAACATGCATTTCAGAGCTTATAACCATGCATAGTAACTGGACCATGACAACTGCATGTACAAAAGTGAATAAAATAAATGTCAAAACTACTCGAAAATAAAGTTTTGGCCTGATCAGGTCATTTGTTGAAGTTAACGAGACAGTTGGGTACCTGCTCTACTCTTTGGGTCCAGCCCTAGTATGAAAATCCACATTTTAAATACTCTGGGTCATATTTGCGCTTTGTCATCTTGCATCCCAACATCAACACAAACTTAAAATGAACGTCAAAGAAACTATGTTTACTATGCCTGTCAAAATAAAAGTTTTTTCAAAATAAAAAAAATAAGACCAACATGAGACGCACATTACATATTATTTAATTTTGGCTGCTGTCCACGACCCACCCAGAACAGGACCGCGACCCACTTTTGGGGCGTGACCCACCAGTTGAGAACCCCTGGTCTATAGCCCAGTTTTACATGATAAAGTTAGCGGAACTCATGGAAATTCATTGTGCACAAAATTTAAAAACAACAACAACAAAAAAAAAAAACCAGCCTGACTCATTAAATGAACACTGTAGAGGTCAGAAACCCAACATGGCACCTTCAAAATAATGTAAAGCGAGAATGTACAATACATTTTAACACCTGTTTGAAGGTAAACGTTTGCATTTGGTCTTTTAACCACCTTTACATAAACATTATTTTCTTCAGTGGCAGCAGTTTACTGATATTTGTTTTTACTAGTGAGATCATTTATTCAATCAGTCCTTCAGTGTATAAAATGTTTTTCCTCCTCAGCTGCTGCGGCAGAGGAAAACCTTTAACTCACCCACAGATCCTTTGGCGGCGATGGCCACCGTCTCCAGCAGAACCTGGACGATCCCGGCTCTGACCCGCGGAGTGTTCTTGTTGTGGTGGTCCAGGTGGTTCAGAACCTGCTGGATCACGTGGTGGGAGTGCTGAGCCTGCGAAACCACAAATTTAAACTGTGTCAGTACTAACCGGTACAGAGTGAAGAGCATGTTATGTTTATTTCTTCCAGTAAATAGACTTTAAGGGTCCCATATGGCAAATGTCTTAAAACTAGGAGGTGTTAAACAAAACCTCTAAAAAATATGAGGATGCTCACCACAGCTATTCTTCCTGCCTCTCAGCTTTACAAACCTTTTAGAGTTTTATCCAGTTTCTACGTAGAAAAGTTGAAAATATTTGCAAAACTTCGCCCCCTCACTGTGTCCAGGTGAACCAGTCACATGAACAGCTGCCTCACAGTACACCAGGTTCATTCACTTTCTACAGCTGCTTCTGCTAAAAATGTCTCAAATGATCGGCTGTTGGCTGCAAGTGTGAACGCAACAGTCCTCGTGCAATCAAACTTGTCGAAAATTAAGCAAAATAATTGTCTAAAATGAGTCAAAACTCATCCAAAATTGATGAATAAGTTTTCAAAACGACTCAGAATGTGTGCAAAGCCAATAAAAATATGTTCGTAGGGACTCAAAATTTGTTCTGAATGATTCGACATATATCCAGAATTAATCAAAAATGCAGAACTTGTCCAAAATGACTCAAGGCTCATCTAAAATCAATCAAAAATATGTTCACAATGATTCAAAATTTGTCAAAATTTGCTTGAAAATTCTACAACATCTGAGCCACAAGCCAAGTTCACCAAATGTTCTGCTGTTGGCTGCAAGAGTGAACACAAGAGTCTTCATGCACTTCAGAATCTGAGGAACGGACACTCATGGATTACTGCTATTGCTGATGGTCCAAACAACAATAGGAGAATCCTTAGAGTTGTTGTTGTGTGTTGTTGTGCAGCTAATGTAGCTAACATTAGCTTTGACGCTAATCTGCAGCTAAAATACAGACTTTATAACATCAACTTACAAACTCACCAAACACAGCAGTTAAAAACAACCATGCTGAGAATTGCAAACTATTTACATATAAAATGATCCTCAGAAATAGATTCTAGCTTGACTTTAAAACATAGTCAGCAGCTGCTTTAGGAGGAACTTTTCTTTTCAGTGCTCTGAGAGAAAGTTAAAGTTTAAAGTCCTGCTCTCACACACTCATTCAACACTTGATCTCAGATGCAGAGAGAGTTTTCTTCCTGAAGGGGGCGGGGCCAGCAGCACTGAAACTTCCTATTTAGAAATCAAATTCATACCAATAGTTACATGGTCACAGAGAAATAAACCATCTTTGTGGTGTTTATAGCTGAAGAACTGAAAGATCCATTCTGGAAGCAAGTGAGATTTTCATTATTTTACTGAAAAGGGCCCAACTTGGGACCTTTATTCTGGTAAATTCAATTAAGCTTAACTATAGAAACAGCATCAGGTGTTTTGGTTTTGTACGTGGTCATTAAAGGACTGGTTTTGCTTTCTCCTTCAGCAGTTTTAGAAACACTTTCACAAAACATAGTCATCATTTGTGAGCTATAGATTGGTGGTTGGTGGACTTTGTTAGCAATGGACAGAGTCAGGTTTCAGTTTTAGTTCCAGTAACTACAGACATGATTTGTATCCATCTTCTTCCAAAAAAATCCCTTAATGGTGTTCAAGAACAAAGTGGAAGCTGTTCAAATGTTCATGTGAAGAGTTTCTCACCTTAAACTGGATCAACCAGCAACAGTTTACATCGTCTGCAGGATTAGTTTTATCAGATCAGATCGGGCTCTGTGGTTCTAACATCTGTGGTGATGTTTGACTGCTGTGATTGTTGTACAATAAACTGTAAAAATTGGACAGACTGCAGCAACCGAAACCCCTTCAGAGGTTCTTAAAAAAGAGAGGATGAGAAGGTTGTTTTTCTTGAAAGGCCCCTGTGATAATAAAGGAAAGAAAAGTGACATCTTGGACTATTTTCTGCTCCTGTGAGGGAAGAAATCGATTTGTGTGTCTCCTGTTCTTTGATTGATTTCTCTTTGTGCGACTATTGGAGTACTGAGACAAAACTTCAGAAACAAACCGCAAATTACTTCTACTGTAGCTCTTTGAGACGACTGTACGATGTTCTGAACTTCCAAACATCGTCAGCAGCTGCTTTACTTTCCTTCTTAAAGCTGCTGAACACGTCATTTCCTCCTGACCGCAGGATAAAACAGCTGTTACATCTTCCAACTCAAAACTGAAGCAGAAAATGATTAAAATGCAGATTTGTAATCCCATTTCATGTCACTTGGTTTGGTTTGCTGTACCTGGATGGAATACATGATGATTCTGAAGCAGGAAACTGCAAACTCATTGGGGTCCCACAGGTGATGGTTGTCCAGGTGACTGAAAACAGACAAAAAAATTGAAATATTATTAATATTCTCAGCAGCAGAATATGATGAGGACATGCTGATGATTTTGACAGAAACAGTCAAACAGTATCATTATGTATAACTAGTAGACGGTTGCATTTTCACCAGATTTGTGTCTTATAAACATCTGGAACTTGTCATCTCCTCAATGTTTATGTGAAAGGTCTTCAAACTTAGACGAAACCCTGCACACTTATCAAACGTCAGACATCCTCATGAGGAACATATCTGTGAGTCCATAAACGATATAAAGGACGTCCAAATAAAATCTGTTCTGAGTGTTTTATTATCTGCCAATACAGAGTCCCAGTTTAATATCATTTTCTTTGATAATATGCATTATTGTAGATCAGTACCTGGTTGTTCCACCAGGTGGAGCCTGTAGAAGCCAATAATGTAATAACAACCGATAACGTAATAAATTTGCACTTTTTAAAATGTAATAGGCCAATGACGTAGTAACTGGCCAATAGCGTAATGAAAGTCCTGAACTGATTGGTCAATACCATAATAAGTTATTGGCCTGGTTAAAAAAAATAAATAATAAAAATTCTTCGCAAATGTAATAATTATTGGCCAAAAGTTATTACGTTATCGGTTCAGGACTTTTATTACGTTACTGGCCAGCTATTATGTTATTGGCCTACTACATTTTAAAAATGGCAAATTCATTACGTTATCGGCTATTTTTACATTATTGGCTTCTACAGAGCCTCTTACTGTTTAGTACTATAGAGACCACAGGAGGCATCACTCAGACTACAGGCAGTTCATGTTGGCAAGCAGAGAGCATTGTGGGAGTTTAGCTAGCAACGGGCACCACGACAAAGACTTCTGTGATGCTTAATGATGTCCGACCAGAGCTAACGTACTAACAATGAGCCGTAGTCTACTTGGACAGAGCTTCTTTAGCTAAGTGGCTAATGTAATCAAGCTGTGTTTGTGGTGAGTGGACGAGCAGCCAAGATTGTGGGAGTCTAGCTAGAAACAGCATCATGACAAAACCATTGGTGATGCTTTATGACCTCCGATTAGTGCTCATGTGTCTAAGACAACGTGCAACAGACTTCTGCAAATGTCACATCGCTTATGTCCTTGCACAAATGTTGCTTTACCTTTATGACATCTGTGTGACAGTGAACATGGACTAAAGCTTGGGCTTTACATCCTGCCAACGCTCAACAGTTTAAAAATGCCTTGAGCACCAGAAAACGGCCGCCTTTCTGAGATTGGTGTTAATATTAGAGAATCATATGGTGAGCAGTAGTGCTGTATGCTACTGATGTATCACAAATTACCCACAAAGTAGATGCACAAGTACAGTTTGACTAAATTACAGCTGACAGACAGGACAATGCCCGTCTGTAAAAGATGCTTTTCACCTGCAAAGACTGAGTGAGCGAACATGTCGAATAATGTGATTTATTTTGTGACAACAGAACCCTTTTTAGCTTTGAGGCTTGATGAGGCAGTTAAGCACAATAATCGTGTTTGAACTGTGTTATTTTTACATTTTTTTAGCTAACTTAGCGTTCATTCTGTTGACAACTCGTTACTGAAAGCTGCTAAAAATCAGACGTTCACAGTTTGCGGATAAACAGCAGCAGCTAAGAATCAGCTGAGTTCCTGCACAAACGTTTTTCACATGATCTAATGCAGAACATTGATAAAATTTCTATTAGAAATGATAATAATAAACTCGCACGTTCTGTCATGTAGTATTTAATTACTCATTTCAATACATGAATTTGGAGATTTTTGGGGGAGTCAGAGGGTTAATGGAGGTGGAACTTCTAAAATCAGCTGAATTTCCCTCTGGAGACTTGAGTTCTCGTGCTTTTTTAACTAAATAACAATAATAACCAACTTCCGTGTTCTGCCATCTGGTATTCCATTAGGTTTTATGATATTTTAGGTTTTTTCTGTGGTTTTGTATCTGAATTTATATATTTAGACAGATGCTCATCATCTCAAAGTAATTTATTTTCCATAAAGATTTTTGTCAAGGGCTCATGAAATGTGACTATAAACCATCTAAAAAAACAAAAAACAAAAAACTAATTAATACATAAATAAAATGCTCTCTGGTGAATAAACTACATAATGGAGGCACCATTTCTAAATGACTTTGACAAAGCTTTCTGTCGTCGAAGCTGCAGTTTCTTGTCACTTCTTGTCCAACAGATCATAACCAAGCATCAGGTGACTTCAGTCAGTTTTTTCCACCAGCAGATGTCAGACTGAGCAAAGATTCATTGCAAATTGAAGTTTATCTTTGCTCAACAATGACAAATTTTGATATTTAGCAAAATAATCATTATAATCTTGAAGCTGTAATCATGCAGCCTGAATGTTGGCGTGAATAACGTGCCGCCTGCAGACTGTCAGGCAAAGATAGACGGATATAATTAGATAATGCGGAGGAGGATCAGTTGCACAAAAAGCTTAAGAAAATCTGAGACTTTCCACCTCTGATCTCAGGGGGGGCAAACATCCAGCGCACTTAAGCTTGAGGTGAGAAACACAGCAGGTCAGAGGTTTTAAAAAACATCACGTGGGCGTCGAAGGAGATGTGCGAGACGAGCAGATGAAGAGCGACAGGTTTCCTGACCTGCAGCCTCCAGGAAAACTCATCTATAAGATGCATCTGCTGCTTATGTGAGCGAACAAACAGGCGGCAGGTCGGCTTCTTCACCCACCTGCTGACAGCCAGAGCAGAAACCAGAACACGAGAGACAGAGAAGAGCAGCTTGTGTTTCTGGTAACATCTCAGCTCAAAAAAAAAAGAAAAAAAATCTAATATTTTGTGATGGGAAAAGATTGAAATAAGCCATGCTAGAAACTCACGCTAGGAAGTGATGGTGCATGAAAAGGTAAAGTGTTAGGATTCTGTGTTTATAGTATTGGTGCAAAACTATCTTTTAATCGTGTGTTCATCTGACAAATCAAAAACAAAACAAAAAAGGAAAACAAAAATCACAACACGTCACATTTATTTGATGCTGCTTTGACACAA